TTGAATTTTTAGTAGAGACGGGGTTTCACCATGTTGGTCATGCTGGTCTCAAACTCCTGACCTCGTGATCTGCCTCCTTGGCCTCCCAAAGTGCTGGGATTACAGGCCTGAGCCTCCGCGCTCCGCCAGCAAGGCACAATATTTAGCAGCCATTACAAGTACTATGAAAACTGTTTGGATGCAGAGGCACCCACATTTGCAAACATCCTGAAAGCCTGGTAGAGTGTGAAGACAGAAAAGAAAGCAAAGTAGCAGAAATACAGCGGAAAGGGCACACGACTATCAGAGGGGACAAGCCTTATAGACCTTGTTCAGGACCATGGGTTTCATACTAATTGCAAAGGGAAGCCACTGGAGAATTCTGAGCAGAGGGTGACATAACCAGAATGGTGGGTTTTAAATGATCCTTCCTTATAATGTGGAAATCTATTCTTTTAAATGCAAGTATGCAGACAAGGCATCACACAAAAATGTGTTAGGGTGATTGCATAGAGGGTAGCATTTTTTCTCCCTTGTCAAAAATTCCCCAATCCTATTTCTGACACCTCATATGAAAGCTGCACATGCAGTCTTATTATTATTTTGCAAGCCTGGGGCTTGGGCAAAAAAAGAAAAAAAAAATCCCCAATCCTGTTGACATAACATTCCCTACTTTAAAATAGAGAAAACAGTTATCCTACAGACAGCAGCTGTGTTTTCTGTGAAACATTGTGTCCCACAAATGTAGGAGACTATGCACAGAATGGGGAGGCTTGGGAAGGAGGCTGTTATCTTACGAAATGGGCTAGTGGGTGGGGTAGGAGGTGAAAGTGTGTTATCGACCTCCATCAGAAGTTCTTTTTCCAGTGGGTGATGAACCATCAAAAAGAGCTTCCTGTTGATGTTACAGATGTTATAACTTCACTTATCACTGTTTGATCTCCCCTAGCACGTTACCCTCGGGTCAGGAGTCTGTCAGCTCGAAGCAGAGATAAGGGGGCCACATGTCCCAGGGCTTGGCAGATGGAGCCCTGAACCCAGACCTCAGTAGGAAGCATCAGCGTGAATCCATTCCCAGTAGCCTCTGAGCAGGAGCAGGCAAAGTGCCTTCTTTTTGAAATAGGGCCTCACTGTGTTACCCAGGTTGGAGTGCAGTGGAGTGATCATGGCCCACTGCAATCTCTGCCTCTCAGGCTCAAACGATTTTTTCACCTCAGCTTCCCAAGTAGCTGGGACTACAGGCACATGCCACCACATCCAGCTAATTTATATATATATATATATACACACACACATACACATATATATACACACATACACACAATTTATATATATATACACACACACATATATAAAAAATACACACACACACACACACACACACACGCATATACACAACATAGCAAAATCTTGTCTCTATATGTATGTTGCCCAGGCTGGTCTCAAACTCCTGGGCTCAAGCCATCTGTCTGCCTTGGCCTTCCAAAATGCTGGAACTACAGGCTGAAGAGTCGTTTTGAGCAAATTATCTTCTCATCATCGGCAAGTGTTTGCATGTAGTAAGGACTGGACATGATGCATGTATACACCATGCATATGTAACACAGCACCTTAAATCACTCATTTATCCATGCCACAAACATGTACCAAGCACATGCTAGGTACAGGCACAATCCCGGCTGGTGGGGAAACAGAGAATAAGGCACAGACTTCAATTATTCTGACTTTGCTATTTAAAGCAGAGCTGTGGATGACATGTAATACACAAAACCATGAGACTTTAGAGCAGAAAGGATGCTGGAAATGATCCAATCCAAAATTCTTATAATGAGATATAAGAAAAATGTAGTCCAGAGAGGATCAATGCCTCAGAAGTTCAAGTCAGGTGGATTTTCTAATAAACTCTGATGTGTCTTATAAAGATGGAAGCATATTGCTGCAACGCAGTCCTAGCAAGAGTGTGCACAAAAGTGTAGCTTAAATAAAGGAATCATTATCTCTGACATGTGATAAAAATGCCCCATCACTGTCCTTAATCAAATGAGGATCTCTAAAATGACACTGAAATACGTCATGTTCAAAGATCTTTAACAACCCTATGATCTTGTGAATCTTGGAGTAGCATGATGGAAGGTTCTGGTCCGAGAGTGGTTCACACAGAGGCTAGAGCTGCATGCATGTTATGCAACATTGGGTGCTGACATATCTACACTGGGTTCCTGTGAATGGATAATAGAAATAGCAAGTCAAGCATCTTGGCATCACCCCACAGTTAGCTGTAGCTAGAATGGATTACTTAGTGTCCATGGCTGAGTCAGGAGCAGAGCGAAGTGTGTATTGACGCTGGCAGGGCAAACCTAGAGCCGGTGGAGAGCCCAGTTAGGAAATCACTCCACATGGCTACCAGTGTTCTTCTGCTTTCCTCAAATCATGAGTGATAAAGGGGCTTCATGTTTTTAACAGGAACTCTGCAAAGGGAAGCAAACTGCAGCTATAGACGTAATTCCACAGTGAGCTGTGATACATCAACGGGTCATAAAACACTGAAAGGGACTCAGCCCAAGGGGTGGCTTTCTGACTTACATTTAGAGAATAAAAATGTTAATAGTGGCCGGGCGCCGTGGCTCATGCCTGTAATCCCAGCACTTTGGGAGGCCGAGGTGGGTGGCTCATGATGTCAGGAGTTCAAGACTAGCCCCTGACCAGCGTGGCGAAACCCCGTCTCTACCACAAATACAAAAATTAGCCAGGCATGGTGGTGCGCACCTGTAATCTCAGCTGCTCAGGAGGCTGAGGCAGGAGAATCACTTGAACCCAGGAGGCGGAGGTTGCAGTGAGCCGAGATCGCGCCATGGCACTCCAGCCTGGGCAACAGAGGGAGACTCCATCTCCAAAAAAAAAAAAAAAAAAGTTAATAGCTACCATCTGTTGTTCACTACAGAAAGGATATTCTGTTAAGTGCTTTGCCTACTTATTTATATTATTTAACCTTAAACAACCTTATGAGATTTAAAAAATATCAGGTATTTATTATTAACCCAATTTTACAGATGAAAAAACTGACTATCAGAGAGGTTAACTAACTTTTCCCATGTCACCCAGCTACCAAGTGGTGCAGCCAGGATTGAAACCTGATTATATCTAACTCAGAAGCTGTTACTCAAATTGCACCAGGCAATTTGTTCGCAGCAAGGGACTGACATCGTAGAGGCCTACAAGTCTGTTTTCTTTGTTTGTTTTATATCTGGGTCATTTTATCCTCCTCCCATTCTTCTTTCCTCTTAAGTTTCTATTTTGGGGTTTTAGAGCCCCCCCAAAGAGCCTGAAATCAGCCTTCCTTCCCTTCCTGTTGTTATCGTACAAACTGTAACAGCCATTTTTGGTTGGCCTCATTTGATGCTTAATGACAAAGAAGTTGTCCTCAAAAATTTATTCTTATCTATTGCCCTACTTCCCCTACTCACTTAATCTTTGACTACATCACATATAGATTCAGAGATGAGCTAGGTTGGAAGGGATCTTTGCTAATGTCTGAGACCTACTTCTTCATTTTATAGAGGAAGAACATGAGTCCCTTTAGGGGAAAGCAAATTGTCTGAGCTCATGTGACACATTGGTGCCAGAGCTGGGACTTGATCTCAGGCCTCTTAACTCCTCCTTTAGGGCCCTTTCCACTCTACCTGGCTGCGTGTGTATTTGCGGTATTTAAATGGTGCCCACAGGGAGAAAAAGAGATTACTAATCTCCATCTACACAAACTGTCTGTACCAGGGAGCTGGGCAGAGCATGGCCAAAAGAGACAGGCATCATCTCTCCCTTTACCCTGCTGTACTCAACGAGCGAGATTGCTATCTTCTGAGTGGCAGTGTCCCCGCCTTGTTGGAAATGTTGAAACACTTGTGACTGACCTCAGTGACACAGAAGTTTCTGGGTAGGGGCTGGACTCGGGTCGGGGAGATGTTTCCGTTAGGACATCGCTGAAACACAGACTAGGATCAGACTGAGCTCGTAGCCCTGGGGTAAGTACTGTCTGTGGAGACAGGATTTTAAATTAGTTTGCAATGTGCATTTGTTTGCGAACATGTACGTGTCGAAGTTTTAGAGAGGATTCTCTGTTTATGGGCTGAGATTCCAGGGTGTGGAATTCAGCCTGCAACCAGCTTACAGAGAGCCTAAGATTACACTTTATGGACGTGAATTTCTTGTGCCTGAGGCATCTGTCTGCACTAGCAGCAGCAGCCATCGGGGATCTGGCCAGAAGGTACATGGACTTTGGGTCCAGCAAAAACCAGTTCCAAATCCTCACTCTGCTCACCTTTTGTGAGCCTCAGTTTCCAGCTTCCTCATCTGTAAAATGGGCATAAAACACCCACCTTACAGGGTTGCTACGTGGATTCAGACAATGTACATTTAGTGCCAGTACAGTGCTCCACCAATAGCAGCTGTGAAGTTTCCTTTTTAAGTCAAATGGGAACCAGATCTCAGAGACTATCTCCCCCATAAACATCCCATAGGAGTGTTTTCCCTGAGAAAACATTCTGAGCAGCAAAGGACTAGTATGTGTGGACGGAGGAGAGCCATCCTGGGAGTTTTAAAATTTTATGAATGGAGGTCAGAGAATGTGCACCATCACAGAAAAAGGCCATGTGAGCATCTGGACAAGGAAAAGCTAATAACAGCACAAAACAGAAACAGTTGACCCTTATATAGAGCTTACTATCTGCCAGGGACTGTTAAAAGAGTTTTATGCAGATTGGCCCATTTACTCCTCACAACCCTAAAGACGTGAGTGCTATTAAGAGCCTTAGTTTCCATTTGAAGAAACCAAGGCACCAAGGTGTTAAGGGACTTCACTGAATCAGTGAAAGAAAACTCTTCTGGAAAATTTCATTACAGAAGAGTTAGATCAGGCCTTTCTCCATCTCTCCAACCTGGGAGGGGCTCAGACAATGCGGTGCTGGGAAGCATGTATCAGGTACCCAAGGATGGGTTAATCCTTCTTCTTGTTCTGTGTGTTGACCTATTTTGTGAGCATTGGCAATTCTACCCAATTCAATGCCTTGAGTAGGATCTGTCACATAATTGGTGGAACCCAATGCAAAATGAAAATCTGGGGTCCCTTACTCAAAAATTATTATGAATTTAAAGATGACAGGCACAAAGCATTAGGCCAATCATGGGGTCCTTGTGAGCACAGGGCCCTACTCATCTGCATGGGTTGCAAGCCCATGAAGCCAGCACTGGCCTTGAATTCTGACAAGGAGGCAGGAATGCTACTGGATGTCTCCGTGGTCTCATGTAGCCCTCCTAATAATTCTGAGCTCCCCACCCTCCCTGGGTTGGAGAGATGGAGAAACACCTGGTCTAACTCTTCTGCGCTAAAGTTCTCCAGAAGAGTTTTCTTTCACCGATTCAGTCAAGTCCCTTAACACCTTGCTGCCTCAGTTTCTTCAACTGGAAAATAAGTCAAATAAAGAGACATTTGACTGCCCAATTGAAAGAGGAGAAAAGTGAGACTCTGAGACATTAAGTGGCTCCCCCAAGGTTAAACAACATTTATTATATGCAAATTGACTTAATGGCAATGTGTACAGAGTGTTACACATTGAAATGCTTTTTCCACTCCTATCCCCTCCGTGTCTTTAAGTACTGTGCTATGAATTGTGGAGTGTAATATATGCAGTCTCAGCCAACAAGGTGCATAATCTGTAGAAGGTGCCTAGTTTTCCTAAAATTTAGTAGGCCAATCGATGAAACAGAATAATTTGACCCCTTCCAGTTCATCTGGAGTTTTGTGGGAACTAGCAAAATGAATCCGTGAATACTGCTTGAGTAGCTTGCAACTTTTGTGTTCTTGCTGATTTAGTCTTGGAACGAAGTTGCATCCACATTGCATTCATCTCTAATAGTTTCCTGCAAAACTGCTTTCCCCAAAAGTACTAATTAGAAACTCTGGATGACTTGCTTCCCTGCTAGAAATTGGCAGTGCTTGCACCTAGAAGTAAGTGTGACTGGAGATGTGGTTTATCTACTTGAGGCTCAAAGTTGCTCTTTCTCGTTACTTTGAATCTCACTTTTTAGTCCATTTTAGAAAAATTATAAAATAACAAAATGTCGCAACTAAATTGATTTAGCCCACCCCTCTCATTTTATAGACAGGGGAACTGAGGCTCAGGGAGAAGAAATAATGTGCCCAAGGAATGTATAAAGTTGTTGAGCTGGAATGTTCATCTAAGCTCTCATGCCATATTCCAGATGAGCCCTAGCCTCATAACCACCTGGGGTGAGGCCTCTGACATGGTGATCAGAGCCAAAGAGAATTCAGGCAAGATTTCTCTGATATGAGAATGAAGGTGATCCTGTAACCCTCTGTTGGCCTTTTCCCCATGATATTTGGCAGACTCCATCCCTCCCTTCCCTCAGCCTGGCGTTTTGACCTTCTCTATTCCCTGGTGAGTGACTCATTGACAGTCATAGGAACAGGCATTGTTTAGGACCAGGGATGTCGCAGGACCTCGTGGTTTTGTATATTGTGTTGCTCCCACCTGAAAATCATGAGTGGGCCCAGTGTTCTTACAAGGCCTTATGGAAATGGGTGTGTTTATAAATTTAAGACAATTTTGAGTTGAATGTTCTGGTCCAAGGATCATCCCCTGGTACCCATATATGCCAGGCTCTCTACCGAGCATTTTCTTTTTTTTTTTTCTCTTTTTGTGGAGAATGGGGTCTCACTGTGTTGCCCAGGTTTGTCTCAAGCTTCTGAGCTCAAGCCAACCTCCCACCCCTGCCTTTCTAATTGTGATTATGCGTGTGAGCCACCACGCCTGGCCAGCATTTTCAATACTGAATGCAATGTGGTGAAGGCTCTGGCCTCAGACCACCTGTGTCTGAATTCTGTCCCCTTCACGGGGGATTAGAACCTGGTTTTCTCATATGTAAAATTGAGAGAACAATAGTATCTAGCTCATAAGGTCGTTATTCTGAGGATTAAATAATTGATGCAAAATGTTTTTTATGATACCGGCATATACATGGTAAACACAAGACATGTTTGAGTTAAAAACATGAAACAGGCCAGGCACGGTGGCTCACACCTGTAATCCCAGCACTTTGGGAGGCTGAGACAGGAGGATTGCTTGAGCCCAGGAGTTTGAGACCAGCCTGGGCAACATGGCAAGATCCTGTCACTACGAAATTAAAAATTTAGCCAGGCATGGTGGTATGCACCTGTGGTCCCAACTACTCAGGAGGCTGAGGTGGGAGGATTGCTTGAACCCAGGAGGTTGAGGCCACAGTGACCCGTGCTTGCACCACTGGACACTTCAACCTGGGCAACAGAGCAAGACCTTGTCTCAAAAAAAAAAAAAAAACCCATAAAACAGGTGCCATCCCCATTTACAGATATAACCCCGAAGCTGGAAAAATAAAGCAACTCACAGCTAGGAAGGCCAGAACTGAGGTCCTAAACACAATCTATTTGGCCACTAAGTCTCTGCACCTGACCAGCTGCCTATACTCACTTGTGTGGTCGCTTTGCATTATACTCAGCTGTTTCCACATTATGCTATTTACGTGTGGTCAAATAGAAATCCAACTTTGTTAGAAGACAATCAATTCCACTAAAGCTGCCCTAAAACCAGGGTTGGCAAGACACCTTTAGCTAGATTGCTTTTCTCCCTCCTTCCATCCATCCATTGCCTGTCCTTCAAATAATTTCCTCTCAGTGACTCTTCCCTGAACATTCTACCGCTTGGGGATCTCTTTTTCCTCTGAACTATAATGCATTATTGATACCACTCCTTCTGACAATTCATTATTCTTCACCTGTGTCATCTCTTCCACTTTTTGACTTTTCACATATTAATGTCTCGATTTTCCAAGTACAAATGAGCTCTTGAAAGTGCAAATGGCCTTTTCTTCTTCGCGCCATCAAGAGTATTTCACACAGGACCATGTGCATGGACCACTTGATAAATATTTGATTGATTGAAATTCAGACATTCAGGTGATCATCTCAATGTTCTATTAACTCCTGGGCTCAAGTGATCCTCCCACCTCAGCCTCCCAAAGTGTTGGGATTACAGGTATGAGCCATCATGCCCGGCTTTATGTTCACGTTTTACAAAATTGTGATTATATCTTATGTAACTAAATACAACTGCATTGTACATTTTCATAGAACAGATTTCTTTCTCCAGATGAATTCTTCCTAAATGTAATTTTAAACGACCACGTGGTCTTCCATTCAAAGCCTCAATCCTCATTTCTCCAGTTTTTGTTTTTTTCTTTAGATTGCTTCCCATTTTTCACTTTTATAATGACACTGTACAGAGCTCTTTTGCATAACAGCTTTAGTCTGTTCTGGATTGTTCGCAAATTGTCTGCGCTACACTCTTTACCCATTTGTTATTTGGGGGTCCTAGTGTTTTTCTTAACAATTTATAAAAACCAAAGATGCAAAATCTTTAAAATTGTGGTTTGCCTTACTTGTTTCAGGTTTTTTTTTTTTCTGTTTGCCTTTAAATTTTGTTAACATGTGAAGTTCTAATAGTTTACAGCCAAATCTATTTTTCATGTATTTCTTTGTGATTTCTTCCATTGCATATAAACTGAGAAAGTTTTCTCTCATCTGGGGATTTAATAAAGATTTTAAATATAGTAATATTCAATCCTAATTTATTCTAATTTTAATGGCTTGATTTTAAAATATTTACCTCCTTAATCCATTTGGAATTCATTTTGCTATCTAGGGTTTTGATCTAAGTTATTTTCTTTTTCCTTACAGGTAGCTAAACCATTGTCTTGGGGCCAATATTTGTTAAATAATGATTTCCTTTCCTCCACTTGCTTTGTGGACTACTCTTATAACATTTACTGTACACAGTAGCACATTTTTTCAAATCTACACTTCTCTTAAAAAGTGGTAGTCAGAAATCTACCTTACAACAATTTCTTTTCTTTTCTTTTTTTTTGAGACGGAGTCTTGCTCTATCCCCTAGTCTGGAGTGCTGTGGCACAA